TGCCCAATGACGCCCTTTACAATTGTCAAAAGTGCATTTAGAGTGTTCTAAAACCAAGCAGAGATCTGTAATTTAAAGTCACTGATCATATTTGGGAGCAGAAGTATTGAATGACGGTACCCACAACTCCTCCTTTCAGGCACCCAATTCTGACCTGATAGAATTTCTGCTAAGGAGATTGTTTCATGTGATGTTGGAAAGCAAAGATGCATAAGTAGCAGATGTGGATTTTTACATTTGCAATGCCTTTCTGAGTAGTGATGGTTCTGATAGATATTTTGACATGGCATGCTGACAGAAAACAGGAAAACAGACATGCTAGGGATGAGCTGGAAGACCACTGAAGTAATTTTAAAAAATAAAGACTGTCAAAAGCAATAACATGAATACACTGATCTCTATTACAGGTGTCACAAGACAGTCGAAAGAGATTGTGTGACAGATATCCAGAATAAACTACTTATGGCACTGTATCAGGAGAAACAACCACAATGGCAGCCTTCCAAATGTCTGAAACGTTCACAAGGCTGACCAGCTGCATTAGCAGGGATAACAGTATGAGCTGATCTCTTTGTGAGTTTTCTACTTTTTGTGCTGCATCCTCTCAGATAATCTTGCTTTGGTCCTCTTGGAGCTGTATGAAAATTAAAATGGTTTTGGATAATTTTAAAAAAAAAAGCACATTATAGTTGAGCATTCAGAAAATCAAGAAAGCCTTTTCAAAGTCACCAGTATTGCTTAAGCTAAATTGTTACAAAACAATAATATTCTGTAAGTTATTTATTTGATTTGTTTAATTTTCTCTTTTTCTCTTGCCTTCAGGAAAAGGTTACAATGGGAAAAAAGTAAGTTTTTCTAAAAATGAAAACAGAAGCTCACAAATAAAATTATTCCAGAAATAAAGTTGGGAAAAAAAATGCAACACAGTAACTGAAACTCAAAACTGACAAACACATGGGAAACTGCAAAATATGCCACTGTTGAAGAAGTTCTTGACAGCACAAAGTAGACTTATGTACCTAAGCCCTATTAATTTTCAGTGAGAATTGGATAACTAACTGTTCTTGCTACCTTTGAAAATTTTCCTATAATCAATCCTTAAAAGAATTTACACTCTGCTGCAAATTATACTAGAAAAAGCAATGTACTATGTACTAATTTCTTGCATTTTCTTTGCAATTCTTTCATATATTTGAAAAGCTTTTCCTGTTCTGCTCAACCTTGCAATAAATTCATTAAATGGACTTGTTCTTAAGGATTCACAGTTTAGTACCTGGATTTTACTGCAGGGTCAAATGCAAAGTCCACACATAGCTGATGATGAAAACAGATGCTTAGTGTAGGTGTACACCTGACAATGACAAAAATGGCAATCAAAGGTAAGGAGAGAAGATTCCAAAGTTCCAGAGAAATTTGGACACCAACATCCTAGGAGGCTCCAGCAATGAGGACTCTTAACAGTTTTAATCTGAGGACAAAATGTTATCTAAGTGGAAAAACTCTTATTGTCTTCAGAGAGCCAGGATTAACCTTGTTTATTTCATAATCAGTCATTAAAGAACATACTAAAACAATTAATTTAAGAGAAACTGGTCTTGATACTATATCTATCTTATCTGGTCCTTCATTCAGAAAGGAAATCAAACATATTTGACCCAAATAATTGAAATGTCTTTTAGGCACACTCGTGGCCAGGATGATGTCCATGACATGCTATGGGCACAGAATTAAATCAACCTAAAATACTCTTAAAGTATTACCAGAATAATCAATTATTTTGGTTTTCCATGAGACTGCCTCTGTGCAACATAGTTCACAGATGACAGAGACAAAGCTTCAGTGCTCTGTGTTAATGAATCTAATGGAGAAGATGCCTGTTCTTAGCTAGCAGGTGGAATAGGTATGCACATGAGACAAAATTTTCAGAATGGTAGAAAATGGAATTGGTTCATCAGCACATAAAAAAATATTGTTACTTTCTCTATATTACATCTCTTTGGCTGATTGACTGCTGAGGATTGGGCCCAGCAATAGTCGCATGCATACATAATAATCAGTAAATCAAAGAAAGCAAGGGAACAGATTTTTATAACAGATTATGATATCCTATTTGAATATTTCATAAATCCTGCTAAGAAACCTCCCATGTAATTCTAGTCTATGATCAAGAAAAAGAATATGACATAAAAAATATTACAAGAGATGATGAAAATGCAATTTCTGTCTTAGTAGATGGATGAGAAAACTTATTATTTTGTCCTTAATTTTTGAAAAGTCACAATGGCATGCTAATAAATTGGTGTGGTCTTTGAAGGAAACTTGTCTGCTGCAGTTCATAAATCTCCCAAGTATTTTGGAATTACCAATGCCTTTGGGACACAGAAACACAAACCACTGGTTCAATGTCAGCTCTGCAAAAACTGCAAATGTTTAAACAAATAATGAGATATAAAGTAATGCATAATTAAAGGGTTTCTTCAGAAGAAGTCTGGGTTATATTTATTTTAAGGGTGGCAGTGAAATACATTTGCACCTGTGCATGCTCCAAAGGTGTCATTTTCACAAGTCTTACTGCACAAATAAGGCCTATGCACATAATACATTATTAAAAGGGTTATGCATTTCAAAGAGAAAAAAAAACTACAAGAAAATAAATCTAATATTTAATTTCAATATATCAGAATTGCTAGTATGTTGGTTCAGAAGAAGAGATTTAAACAAAAGATCAAGCAACACAGGTCAATATTTTGTGTTTTGTTTTGTTTTGAAATTGTATTTATGAACAGTCTAACAAAAGACCGTTTTGCATCAGTGTAATTGGCCCTATTTAAAGGGTGACAAAGGTAAGGTCTGTTCTCTGCTTCACAGTTTCTCTGGTGAAGATACTGATCTGAAATTGGTCCATATTAGTACTGCAGCAGCAATATTTAGCTTCACCAGGCAATCCAAACATATTCTAACATAAGGGATGTGCCATAATAGGCTTCAGGCTCAGAATATGCTCCCTCTCAAATGTAATACATCAGGCAACAGAAACTTGCTTCCAGACACAGACAAGGGCCTTTCTGATGTGGGCAAATCACTAAAACACTCTGCAGATTCCTTCAAAATGCGACATATGAACTACATGACTATAAGTAGTTTAAAGTACTTCACTGTGAATCTTAAATTAGGAAACTAGTCCCTTTAGTTACTTTATTTCTAATTAGAAAACTGATTTTCTTGTTCAGCCCACAGACACAGAGAGGTGATATACATATGCCAGCAAGTAGTGCACTACACCAAGAGCAGATCTGGAGAACAAAACACTTCTTACTGAGACCCAAAAATCCAGACTTACCTGCATTTTGGGGTTGCAGGTCAGATTACCTCTGGAGACCATCTTCTTGTTTAGTTTCTACCTGAAAGGAGTCTGGTCCCTGAGCTGTAAGAATTTCTCCTAGATGCAAAAAACAAGGGTGGTAAGACTAGTCAACTGGGAAGTTCATTACAGCAGTACCTGCCTGACCTGAACAGACATTCCTGTGTAAACACCAGTACAAGGAACCCCAGTAAATGGCTTATTCTACCTGGGACTAATGATGGTGTTTCTGTCCTAAATCAGGGACCTCAAGGTCCTTAAATTTAAGTGTGGTGATTCTGGCTAATATACTGACCTCCTACATTCTGGACAAACTTCAGGAATATATTTATCCTGCTCTTCCATGAGCTCCACCATGCCCATCACGAGCTAATGTGATGGATCCTATTTTTTTTGTGACAAAAGTCACATCTAAATTTGGACTCCCTGAGACTTAATGAACAACACACACATCCTTTTCTCTACCTTGCCCTCTGTGTAATTCACTTCAGTGATAAGCAGTGTTGGCAATGCCAATGTACAAATAATTGCAGATACTATTATTTTTTTTTTTTTACTATGTGAAATTCTGTGGAGTGTAATCACATAGGTAGGAAACTTCATTCACACAGTTAAATGTCTTAACTTACACCTGTTTGCATCATATCAGCACAATTATCGGCACAGAAAAGAAGTGAAAGACTGGAGTAAGAACCTGAATGAAGATCAGTGGCTTTATTTTTCTTCCCTTTTCTCTCTTCTGCATGTGTTCTTCCACACAGATGACTCACCAATTATTAATACTACATTTGCTGAAGTTGACTAGAAAGCTAATGGAAGAGTACAGACATCTTTCTTTGTGGAAAGAAACCTTAAGAAGATGTGGTTCTATGCATCTCATTAATAAAAATAAATGACAAATTTATTGAAGCATCTGAATTGACCATCATGTACTGGACAGGTAAGGGTCTGATCATCTGGCTCTTCTGGACTGCAGTGGGTCACCAAATGGCATTATCTCCTAGTGTAATTAAAATGCTGTGAAAGGAACATATTCAGTTTTTAATGGTAAATCTTGTGTTTTAATTAAAAGTTGTTTCAGGAGACCTCAGATGACACTGGCTAAAGCTATAAATGTTCCATAGTTTAATTACAGCAAAAGCTAAGATTTCTCCTTCTCAGTCAGCCATCCATGCAAGTAGTCATTATTTTTTTAAATACCAGTAGTTAAAAATTAAGATTCAGTGTTACTGTCTTTCATGCTGTTTTCAAAGCATTCCCATAATGCCTCAGAAGTGATTTTACTTTCTAAATATCTTTTGTGCAGGTGTCCAATTGCTAACCTAAATAGTTCTCTTTGTATTATTTACTTGAAAATCAACAGTCCCATCGATCCAATGCATGTGTGAACAGTGGTTCTAACACTATTGCCAGTGTTAGATGGTGATCTATATTCAAAATGTAGGAGGAAACCGATGGTGTCCTTAGGCAATTTTAAAAGGAGTCATCTTTTGCATTATTACTCTGTCTGCTTTTTTGTTTATGTCAAGGATTTACATTTGGGACCAGTTTCAGCAGATAATGACACATTGCACAACAGAATGACACAATGGACAAGGAAGGGATGATTCCTCTACCAACCACAAATTATTTATTGCAGATTCGAGAGGCATCCGAATATTGCTGGAAATCCTGTTGCTGGAACCAGGAGTTGTTTTCCAAGCAGGAGCCATTGACGTGAACCATGTATTGATTCAAACATTCAGATTATAGCCAACCTCTTCAACATGCCTTTTATAAGAAGTGTCTAAATAGGAAGTGTATCATGCCCTTACTCTATTTGAAAAGACGCTTGAAATCTAAAAATGGCAGTAGCAAAGTATTTGAACACCCTCAGCATTATTCCAGCCTCTAACTAGGCCAAGTTATAAATTTATTAGCAGTAGCAGTAGTATCCATGCTTTTATGTTTAAGTTTCTAATTCTCTTAAGATGGAGGGTGATATTCTCATCTCCTTTGTAAATGTGGATAAAACAAAATTGTTTCTTGTTCTAAGAGTATATGTGAACAATATCAGTGATGACTGATGATGTTGTCAAGGAAGTCAGAGATTATTAAAACTATGTAGATATAAAACTTTAATTTTAATGTCCCAAACCCTTTCAGAAGTTTGGGTATTCAAACTATTTAGACATCAAAGCCAGCTGTATTCTTCTAAATAAATTCTTGGATCTGGACCACACTGTTTTCTTGGTTTTGTGGCCCTGATCCCATGGGTATGAAAGCAAATAATACTTTTGACTTTTGCATACTTTGTTTTGTATCACAAATAACCAAGAAATCCCGTATATAGTAAATCCCTCCTTCTCACTCATACACACAAATAAACAAGGAAAAAACCCTGTTTAGCTAACCTGACGTCCCTAACATAATTATTTTTGCACTTAACTGCAGAGCAACACATTCAAACTCTGAGGTTCCACGAAAAATTTTCCTCTGGTTTTATAAATAAGCGATTGTGTTTCTGCTTTCTGAAGGGTTCATAAGGTGAAAACATGCACTTTTTCCCTGTATGGTTTTCCTTGCACACCCCATGAATACAAAACATGTCTTAAGAAATAAAGTTTGTTTGTTTGTTTTCATTTAAATAAAGTCTGGAATGTATGTAGTTTAATAAAGGGAATGTGCTGAAAGTAAAAGACAAGTCTGCTTACTGGAGTTGAATTTACAGCCAAATTTATTGAGAACATGTAAAAAATTGGAACTTGGGGTACATAACATGGATCCTCAGGGAAATGTGGGTCATTTAACTATATCGTCAAAGGATGCTGGAGCAAATCTGAGCTTATTAAAGCATGTAGATTCACACTCTAAGAAGTCTGGCATTCAAGCGGGCTAAATGACTCTGCCAGTAAAAAAAGCTGATACTCGATGAATATAAATCTAATAAGAGAATCAATTTTTAAGTTTTTTCATCCAAGCTGTAAGCAACTCAGGCAGATGTCAGTAAGGTGTTACTATGAGACATTTTAACTGGTGTTGTTGGGTTAAGAACAGATAAAGTGAGATTCAGAGTGCCTAGCTGGGAATGTCCAACTCAGATATTACAATAATTAGATGAATAGCTCCTGTTAGAATATGCAAGTGTGGGCTGGAATACATTTCACATAATTTAAGTCATCTAAAAGTTAGGGATTTAGTTGAAGATGCAGGGTTCCTCTTCAGCCAGGAATAACCAGCCCAGAGGAGATTAATCCACCAGCCTCAGATATCCTTACCTGAGGAAGGAAGAGCCACCTACCCTCTGGCAGCATCTCCAGCTCAGTTGGCTATAGAGGGAGCTAGACAACCAGATTAGGTGGAACCTCTCCACAGCACGCAGCTAACGTTAGGTAAAGGACACCCCACACATGGTGTCCAGAGAGAGTCAGGCATTTCTGGAAAGTGTCACACAAGCCCCAAACACCACTCACACTGTTGGCTTGGGGAACGGACAATTGGTGTAGGAGTCTGTCTGAATTCCTCTTCCCCCCTATGTTCTGGCAAGTTAGGGTTCAGATATCCCTGTTCTTCCCAGAATCTAAGCCATGTTTCTGGCAATGAGAAGAGCTGTGCTGTCTAAAGTGGGCTGGAGGAGGTGCTCCTGCTGTTTTCGTTGGGGAAATAGTCCACTCTTTGAGAAGGCAGCTGGGATGATCCACCTGAGCCTGTTTAAATCTTCATCTTCCTAGCTTTCAGAGTGCAGAACAGTCTAAAGAGAAGGAGCCCTCCATCTGTCCTGATAGGACTAGGGAGCGCAGAAATGCAAGAGATTTTTGCCGGAGAGAAGAAGTGAACTAAGAGAAAGAGTGAACTAGACTAGCTGTTAGGCAGACCCTTTGGGTTTTGGGTTTTTTTTGTTTCCCTCCCTCTCTTTCCCCCGTTTTTATCTGCTGATTATCTGATGTAAAACCCAGTGTAAATGCAACACAGAGTAAAGCAATCTTGATGGTATGGTCTGGTACCCAGGTCTCTCTGTCTTTTGGATAAGTGATTTATGTGATAAGCATAGGTTCCTGAAGTGGCAATGAGGTACCTATCCTTTTTGTGGTTTAGGCCCTGGTGTACTTTATTGTGGTTATTTCCATTTGGTTAATTCCTTTTATTTTTCCACTTAATAAAAATAAAAACCATTTCCTAGTTTTTCTCCAAAAGGTAACAGTGGTGTGCAAATCTCATATTTTGCTCACTTACATTCACTTACATTCACTCAGTGGCTTACACCTGGCATCGTTTATGCCACTCTGCATAACTTCTGTGAATTTGCATTTTCATTTCTTTTTTTTTCACAGTGTTATATTACCGTTCCACTCCATGCAAAAGGTCTGACCATAATCTTTACCATTATTGTTTCTAATTTTTAGACTACATTAATAATTTTCAAGGTTAAGAGAGACCACTATGATCTGATTTTCTACTTAACAACAACCAAAGAATCACAAATGTCTAGGAAATGGCTGTCACCATAAAGCTTAAGATTTTAGACAGATGGGTAGGTTTATATCTTCTTTTTAAAAACTTGAAAATATGTCAAACACAGACTCTAGAAATGTATTTTTGAATGGAGACTTAGCCCTTCACTTCTGTGTTAAGATCGAGTGTCAAGGTCCAGATGATAATTTCATGCCAAGTGAGGAGAATTCTTTTTTCTTGCAAACCAAGATAGTTTAGAAACACTGACCTCAACCTTCCTCAGACTTTGAAACCAAACACATTTTTAAAGAAATTTTCTCTACTTAAGTGAAATAAAGCAGAGCTCAAGTTACTCTCGTCATTGGTATCATAGTGTCTTTGATCATGTAATATAAGAAAGACAAAGGATTAGATAATACCTTGGACATTGTAATATTTTATGTCTGAAGTCATACATGGAGAAACAGCTAAAGAAAAATGACAGTATCCTTAACCACCTTGCTCCTTTAAAGGACATAGACATCAAAATCTTGAAGCAATACCAAAACCTTATGCCAAAGGAATTTTTTAGTAAAGTATACTAAACATTATTAATGACTGTTTTTTACCAGATTGCATATTGTATTCCTAATGTTCTATTTATAAGGAAATTTAGCATGATGAACAAACACGTCAGAAACATAACAGTACATGTCTGAAACTGATTTCAAATGCACTGGTTTTATACTAATGTATCTTTAGATTTAGAGTTACTCTAGTAATACCAAATGTAACTGCAGTCAAAATGAGATCAATGTACATCTATATTTATGTTTCTCTCATCTCTCTATATCAAGCAGTCTGCTCGTGCATGCGAAGCAGGTGGATATAAATAGATGAGCTTTCAAAAACAACAGTTTCATTAGCAAGAGATGGATTGAGCAGACTGAACAGTAGGAATGAAATATTTATTAAGTATATATAGGAGTCACTCATGGTGAGAAGTCTGAGTTTGCCTGGAAGCAGCCTTGCTGAAATGAATCCTTGATGCTCTGGAGTTTTACTATATCCTTTTTTCTGTTATTTGTTGATCCTTCTATAGGGTACACATTACCACAATGGAAATCTCATCCGTGACTTTTATTTAATTTAATTTTGTATTTTGTTGGTGGCATTTCAGCATTATTATAATTCAGGCAATTCCTGAAGGAAATTATATTAATAGTGTAGGAGCACCCACCATCCTGATGTGGAGGAAGGCTAAAAAATATTTTAAATTATTAACTTTTCTACACCATCAGCTTTTCAGTGATTGCAAATATTGAAGGAAGCATATAGGAAAGTAGGTCAAATGACTTCAGATAACTGCAGGAGAAAGCCTCTAGGGACAAAAATGAGAAAACCAAAGCACAAAATAATATAGAACTAGAAAAGGCTATAAAGTATAATGAGAAAAAATGAGCATACTGTAGTAAAAAGATGACAAAAGAAAGACACCTCATTTAGAACTCAGTAAAGAAAGCTATCGATGGATGATAATGTGAAGAACGCAGTGTTTAGTGTCATTTTTACATGATGCTTCAGTAAAATTTCAAATAGTTCCAGTTGATTTCAACATAATAAAAAAATAAGGGGTAAAAAAATCAAGCTAGAACAGATGTGTGTCTTCAGATCAACAGAGTCTGGTGAAATACATTCTGGATTGATTAGAGAAGTAACCTAAACAACCTCTAAAATATTAATGAAGAATTGAGAACTCATGGGGGATGGATGATGTTTTTATGAATAAACGTAAGCTTTTTTTGGTCCCTAACTTTCAGAGTTTAGATAGACATCTAAATTAGCTAATTGTCTACACTTATTTAGTATTTAATCTAAATATATAAAAGTTGTCTGTCTCTCTGTAGTGATTACAAGGGGTGCCTAATTTGTCAAGATTCCTAATTGGGGTACCACAGATAAATGGTTAAAGTATTTTGATGGGAGTCTGGATTGTAATATGTATCTTTAAAAGAGGAAGAAGAGGAGGAGCTGTGCAACTACTCAGTTTGTTTTCAGTTACAGAAAAATACAAGGTAAAATACTAAAATTGTTTGTAAGCAATTATCCTAGAAAATAACAGGAAATGAGAAATAGCCAACATTGATTCTCAAGAATAAAAAGTTTAAAATTCTTTCATATATCAACTGACAAATCACGTGGACAAAGGAGAAACCATAGTTTTCATGTATCTCAACCAGAAGAAGGTTCTTAAAATGTCCTGTATGATCTTCTCAAAATCAGGCTAAAAATTTGCCAACTTGGATCTACAGTCAGATACAGGCAAACCAGCTAGAAGATTGTAATTAGAGAATACACGCGAGAATAGGAGCAGCCTCATGCTCACAAGCCCTGGTCCTCATGGGGGACTTCAACCACCCTGACATCTGTTGGAGGGACAACACGGCAGGGCATAAGCAATCCGGGAAGTTCCTGGAATGCGTCAATGAGAACTTCCTTCTCCAAGTGGTAGAGGAGCCAA